ATCATCATCATCACATGTATTACATTCAACAACAATGAATTCAAATTCAAATAGACACAATATACTTTCAATGCCAGCAACAATATCATAATCATTACAAGAATGTAAACGTCTTCTTTATGAACTTAATCATTTTATTCTTCGTCCAAATGAAACACGTGAAGAAGATACTATTATACGTGATTGGCAAAATGTAGCCTTGGTTATTGATCGTTGTCTTTTTTATACATATCTTTTATTAACAACAATAATAACAGTTTTAACATTACTTTTAGCACCATTATTAAAACCTATTCCGACACCACCAACATATTTTCGATTAAATATAACAAAAGAATAAATATTTGTTGTTTTTTTCATTATTTAGTATTTGTAAAGAAAACATTAACTGAAACTATTAATATTATATAGGTAGTTTCATTCAATGTCTACATACGGATAACATTTTCAATATAATTGATATAGTTTACAGAAATGGCATTGATTCGTGCTTTTCAAGAACCGAACTGAATCGATCGAGTCTTATAAAAAAAAATTCACATGAAAACAATTTCGATTCGATTCCATTTCTGATAGTTTTGAAAATTGAAAAATTTGATATCCTACTTTTTATAGTGGGTAGCTTGAATTATAACATTTTAGAAATCTAGTCGTTATACCAATATTACAACGACAACTATTGAACACATTTTTTTTGGTAATGATAAGTTAAAAGAATCATTTATTATTTATTTTCGTTGTTGTTAATTGTCTGTTAATATTCATCAGCTTCAAAATAAAAACATGCTATGTTTCAGTCTTTTCATTCATTCAGTCAAGTTTTATTCCTAGTATCAGCAAGTAGAAAAAAAAACTTTGTTTAAATATATTGAATTATTAAAATTGAGTAGATTTGTACGTGAGAATTTTCATCTTGATAGTTTGTATTGTGAGGAGCCCTTCAAAAATCAAATCCTTTTGGGTCTCAAAAACTGAAATATATATGCATCGCACATGCAAATTCGCTACTCGATACAGAACACTATATTTCATATTTTTTGAGGCTGCATGTATTTTTTATGCAATGACAATTTGTCGGTGCAGATGGAAGTGTGTGTAGCTTATCTCAACCAGTGGTAGCTCGTCGTGTTCTGATACTTTCTCATAAATAAACAGAAATATAAATAATAAATGTTTCGTACATGTTATACATATTTATTTAATTGAAAAAAAAAATAACATAAAGATAATAAATTAATACATTAAATTTTTTATTTAATTGAAAAAAAAAATAATAAAAAGATAAAAAATTAATACTTTAAAATTTTTTAAACTTCATTAGGACTTCGACAAATGTACAGAATGAGACGACCGAATGCGCAAAGAAAACCATTACTAGAACTGAACCATACCATAAAATACTAATGAGTATACCATCGTCAAGCCATGGTTGAAATAATTTATATATCCGTGTAGAAATAAAACTTGGACATTTGTGAAACATTACAGGAAATGATACAGATATTAGCCAACCAAAAGGAAATTGAAATATTGTATCAAAAACAGGTGCATTCATCAGCTTGTTTAACAAAATTATTATTATCAAAATAAAGTGATATAAATATTGATGCTTTATAATTATTAATCGATGGTGTATTTCTTCCGAAGTTCTTTGACGTCGTCGAGGAACTTTATCAAGCATATATAATAATTTTCTCATCATCAATGAAGTAAATGCTATTCCAAAGTTGTAAACATAAATAATCCATAATGCATACCAAGGAAAGCCACGTAATACAACTAATAAATGCTCGTAACTTTCCTGCAAAAAAAAACTTTTTCTTCATCCTAATCATACAGGGAAAATAATTCTTTTCGACTTACTTTTAATGCGTCCATAGCTTGAATGAATGTTTGTGAAATTATCACACTTTATAAATGGCTAATCTTTTTTTTTCCTCTTTTTTTTCTATACACTAATTCGTCCGTCTTCGACGAGTTTGTATAGAGAAAGCAAAACAATAGGCATGAAATGAAAAAAGGTATAGAATGGAGATATAGTTGCCACACAATTTTGTGAAAACAATCATTCTGTTGATTCTGTAGAAGAAAAAGCTAGGTTGAATAGAAGTTCTATAATAAATCCAATTTGAATTCTTTTTTACAAATATATTATTTATGTTATTTTTTTAATTCAAATATAAATAATAACTATTAATATATATTCTTTAGTTATTAGATAGAAAAAATTTGATCATTTATTCGTCTATTATTCAATTTATATATGATTAAAAGAATTTTTCATAAAGACTCAATCATATATATGTTTGCTAAGATAATTTAACTGAAAAAAACATAAATAAGTATTGATTAATAATATCTAAACAATCAATAGCATTAGAATTATTGAATCATCTATCTATGTATCTTTTTCTTTTATTTTTATATTCAGTTCTAAATGGTTTAAAATTTCAATCTATTACGCTTTGTTTTTTCTTTACAAAATACAATAATCCAAAAAATCTTTTTACTAATTCTGATATTTGTTGGATATTTTAGTTGAACAAGTTAATTTCTTTGTCATTATTGATGTAATATTCATAATTTTTCTTTATAGGAAAAGTATGAAAAAAAAGATTCACCTTTAGTTTTCTCGTTGATTTCAGTAAAGAATTGTAATTTTCGATATTAAGTTATTAAATAAGAATATTAAACTTTTTCAAACAATTTTTCATTTTTTTTAAAATAAAACGAGAATAATTTGAAAAAATAAAATGTATTTTTTAATTGATTAAAGTATTGATTTTACATTGATATAGTGCTTTGCTTTTGAATTCAACAAAAAAAATCTCATATACTTGGTCAACTTATATTCTCCTTTGAATGACATAAAGTTAACTGAAT